GGGTAGGGGGCGGGGGGAGAGATTAACCAAAGAGCTTATATGCAATATATCCATAGCCCATGGACACAGACAATAAAGTGAAGGCCTGGAAGGGGTGGGGGCAAGTGTAGGGTATCAATGGGGAAAGAAAGGGGGCAACTGTAATACTTTCAACAAGATAAATTTTTTTAAAAAGAGAGAGAGAGACAAAGGGTTTGAAAATGATGGCATAGTCCCTGGTACACAGTAGGTACTTTACATAAAGTAGACTCACAGCTGGTTGATGGTCCTGTGGCTCCCTCCCTTCTGACCCAGGGTAGTTACGTGGGATCAGGAGAGATGGGCTCCTCAGTGTGTATCTGTGTCAGTTCCCAACATTCTGCTCCTGTCTCCTACACTGTGCAGCAGTTATTGTTCCACTCCCTCACATTGTCTGTCAGGGGCAGTCTAAAGAGCAGATGAAAAAGAGGAAAATGACTCTCCACAGACCAGCTTTCTGGTCAAGTTAGAGGGATGTACAGTAGTGAAACACTAAGTAGGAAATAGTCATATCTGGTTTTATATATCTAGAGGTTTTTTGTTTTAAATATGTATTTTATTGATTTCAGAGAGGAAGGGAGAGGGAGAGAGAAACAGAAACATCAATGATGAGAGAGACTCATTGACTGGCTGCCTCCTGCATGTCCCCTGCTGGGAATTGAGCCTGCAACCCAGGAACATGCCCCAACTGGGAATCGAACCACGATCTCCTGGATCATAGGTCGATGCTCAACTGCTGAGCCATGCTGACCAGGCTAGAGCTTTATTTTAATAAAAGAAACAGCATAATTGCATTAATTGCATCAAAAGATTTTGTCACTGCAAAACTGTGTCACAACTGAGGGAATCCTGTCTGCTTGGATCTGGAAACCACAATTCAGGTCCCTAGTTTATTTTGTGGTGGTCCCCAAATTGTAGGGAAAGGGTCTAGCAGGAAACAAACCATTCCTGTTCTACAAGTCTTCTAAGTCTAAACCTAAATAGTGATGGTGTCACTAAGGCTCGGGAGCAAGGGGCAAGGTGTTCTTTGGTTTCTCATTCCTCTGATCAGAGTCAGCTGGAGTCAGGGGGCAAAAAATAAATAAAAATAAATAAATAAGAACAGAGAGCTGAAACACACCTTTCCATCACACACTAATAATCTGACCATTTACTGTTCGTATACTTGCATTTATTTCTAAAATCTTATTTGTGATTCCTGTTTCTCCTGATTCCTGTGCTTTCTTTTCTCCCTTTCTTGCTGGTGGCTGCATTTCTCTAATATCTACTTATCCACCTGCTGTTGAAGTTATAAACTCTATTTCTAATGTTTTAGTTGTTACCCTAATATATAATTTTAGAACTTTGCTGACAGAGCTTTAGTTCTGATGACCTCTGCTCTGCCATGATTCCAGTAGTTGAGTTCTACCTTTTTAACAGAAAAAAATCAGTTATTATCACCATTTTTGTTTATAGAACCAACACTTATTTAGATGGACCCAATTATTTGGCTGGCATTCCTCCTTGCATCTGAAATCCTCCATCAGAAATCATTCTCCTTTTCCTGAAGGATGTTTGGAGGAGAGTCCTTTGGGGGTAAACTAAGAAAAACATCTGTGTCACCCAGTTCTTGATGTGGAATTTAACTGGGTAACAGGTGCAGCTGGGGTTACTCTTCCCCACCACTCTGGAGATCTAGCCCACTGTTCTCTTGGCATCTATTATCACTGTGAAGAAGTCTGGATTTTTCTCTGGTTGCTTTTAAACATCATCTCTTTTTCTTTTATACACCGTTATTTTACTCTCATCTGCCAAAGTGTGGATTTAGTTGTATTAACCCTGTTTGGGATTTTGTTAATCCTATATTTGAGGACTCCTGTCATTCATGGATTCTAGAAAACGCTCAGCCATCGTCTCTGGATTAGTTCCTCTTCCTTCCTATCAGAAACAAACTGACCTTCTCATTCTTCGTGTCACGTAAACTTGCTTTCATATTTTCCATTTGTTCATCTCTCTGTGCTATGCTTTGGGCAAATTTTCTCAGATCCACATTCCTGTTTACTAACTTTTAGCTATATCTAATCTGCTGTTTTAGCTATACAGTGATTTCTAGAACTCCTACTTGTTTTTTCGTTGGTTTTTGTTGTTGGTAATCCTCACCCGAGGATTTTTTTCCATGGATTTTTTTTTAGAGAGAGTGGAAGGGGGAGAGAGAGAGAAACATCAATTTGAGAGAGACACACTGGTTGGTTGCCTCCCGCATGCACACCGACCAGAGCTGGGAATCAAACCTGCAACCCAGGTATGCGCCCTTTACCAAGAATCAAACCCATGACCCTTTGATGTGGAGCCCAACGCTCTTAACCATTGAACCACACTGGCCAGGGATGTTTGGTTATTTTTAACAGTCTCCTCTTCATTAGTGACACTTTACATTCCCTGTCCTTTGAAATACACAGAACCACATGCATTAACCTTCATACCCTGGGAAACACCACATCAGTACCAATTGTGTCTCTGATCATATTTTCTTTCATTACCTCCACATTATATCGACCCAATCTTCACTAGTCTTATAAGTCTGGCTGTAGTCTCAGCATTTTAAGATTACATTATTCCTATTGAGATGGGCATGCCGATTTTAAACACCCGTACTATGCAAGCAGCCAGCTAAGATTCAAGCCAAAGCTGTGTCACAAACCACCTGTGAGAGCAACTTAAATCAATATTGTTGTGCCTCTGTTTTCATCTGTAAAACAGGGGTAACAACAGTCTTTACCTTATAAGGTTTGGGGAGAATTAAGTGAAATATACATTTTACGAATTACAAACATACAAATATAAATACACAGCATATAGCTGGCACAGCTCCTGGCTCTTCGTAGCCACTCAGTGGTGATGGCCCTTCCTCAGTGTTATTACTGGCAGCAGCAACTTCCCTCATTGCACAGGGTAGGCCTATATGAGGTCCTATCTAACCCAGTCCAAATGGTTCTTACTTTTGAAGATTCAGGCTCCATTAGATAAAGTAGTGCCTACTCAACTTTACCTGAACTGATAAAATAATTGGCTTGAACAAAAACAAAACTCATATACTCAGAGATTTACATTCAATAAACATTTCATGGAGAACCAAGAATGTCATTGTAATAAGTATGCCTCTGACATGTCTAATAAATTAAGAGGATACTAGAAGTAGGTGGTGAGCCACACTTATCTTTGTTCCGATAGAAACTATTTGAATATTTGTTTTATACGGATTTTTGTTCTATTTTCAAACATGCTACTAAAGAGTGTCTCTCTACTGCCGAGCAAGCATTTGTAGCTTGTACACTAGCAGAACAGGCCAGAGACTGTGTTGTGACCTGTTTTCAAAATAAAGCTCCTTTAAAATAAAATAAAAAATACTAGAAGTGTGTTAAAAACACCTGCAGGTACTGTTGACGAACTTTTGGATAGTCTTAGTTTTTAAACACTTATTTGATTAACTGACTAAATAGTTGGAGCTCAAACCTGCCCTAGCAATTGATGTATATCAACTAAACTATGTTGTCATGGAATATTTTGTTTGCTCAGCTCCTGCTATTTGATAAATCTGAAAATACAAGTCTTTTTCTTTAATAAACTCTAACTGGCACAAGACTTAATTCAACTAGAGGTTTATGAACCTAAACATGTTAGTTTTTCTCTGAAAATGTCTAACCAATGCAGATGCTTGGATGGAAGTTGCTGCCATTTGACCACCAGCTTCAATCACAATCTTCTCTATTCCTGCGGTGTTGTCTACAAACACGGGGCCCATTTTCACAAGTCATTCTCTTTCCAACATAACTGTGTCAGATGTACGACTTCCTACTAGCATTACTAGGAGAGAACCAGGGAAAGGACAACTATAGGGAACTCCTTTAGTTCACCTGAGTCATCAGTTTCATTAAGTCAGCACGAGGCACTAGTAGATCCCTTTCTGATGTAACCTCCTCTGTGAACATCGAATACACAGCCCAGGACCACACAGCAAGCAACGCAGCCTAGTAATGAGATCACTGGTGTGGCCTTCCCAGGCACATCAAGTCCTGCTGCACTAAAGGATGTAACAGAACAGGGCTGGAGCTGTTAGGGCGGAGTCGGAATAAGCAGCACAGACAAGGGACGTGGGACCAGCAACAGACCATCATAGCGGAAGAAGTCAGCAGTGCCCCAAAGACACACTAAACAAAAGTTAGGACACACTGGTTGACAGTGACCAGTCAACTTCATACAGGAGTAGCAAGGACAACCAGTGTGAAAAGTAATCAAAGACATTCACCCTCTTGTGTGTGACTGAATACAGAAAACAGATGTGTGAGTGACATGAAGCAGGTGTGTGATCTTACTTCCACTCCTCCGGCGGGTGTGCGAGCTCATACTTCTCCCTCACGCTGGAGACGCCCATGTCCAAGTGGAGCCAGTGAACCTCCTCTGACCGCAGGTGACTGAGCCGAAATCCATAGCAGGCCACGTGCTTTACTTTGTGACTGTCCACTATCTTCTGAATGATGCCCTAAAGATACCCCCCAAAAATGACTGTTAAACACCAAAAACTGTATGCTAAAAATTAATGCAATGGTCATTTCTTTTAGTTAATTATCAGAAATCTTTGTTCAAAGAGTTTCAAGTTAAGTAAATTACTGAATTTCACCTAGGACTCTTTTTTCCTCAAATAGTATTTTATGAACAGGTCAAAGTTAAAACAAAAAGAAGCTCTTTCCTTTCTTTACTGGTAAACAAGACATGGAAACTAAAATACAGTCTGTCACCCCCTCTGCAACATCCTCAGACTTGCCACAGCACACCAGCCACCCTTACATATCACTTGCCGAGGATCAGACCCTAGGATGGGGGTTACACTTTCTGAACCAAGGGTAGCGTATTGTCTGAGACTAGGTGGCAAACTAATATAATTTTTTAAAAACACACATTTGGGAATATAAAATTAAGACAATTTTTCTGATAAAACTGATATATGGAAAATTATTTGAAGTTGGGCCTAACCAATCTATTTGCACTCCAAAGATTAATATGCAGCAATCTCAAATAGCCCCCAAATCTGATGTTTCTAACACGTTGGCCCATGATTTCAGAAGAAGGGAAGATTTGAAGGAGGCCATCAGAGAAGGCTTCCTCATAGGAAAGGGAAGTTTCTCCTGGGGCTGTGGAAAGGGAAGCAGTAGACCTGATTCTTGCCCTGTGTCTGCACAGGTGTGGAAATCATGTGCATGTGTGTTTGTGAATAGGGACATGTGGACGACTCACTTGGGAACACAACGAAACCATCGGTTGCCCTTGCGTGGGGGTGTGCTAATCACAGTCCCTGAAATCTTCCCAATCATTTAGGCCATAAATAAGGTTTTTTTAATGATGCTGATATTAACACGTAAATATCTATTAAAGATAATCATCACTGGTTTTTAAAAATTTACAACTGAAGCAACCGTAACTTAAAATGTAAGACACATCTTAAAAGTCCTGTACAGGGTAGTATTTCTTTATGACAGCACAATGGTGTTGATACAATTAAGGATGCTCCCAGCCCTCCCCATAAGATAGTAACATATATTATACACAAAAAGTGGCGAGAACCCCGAGTGTCTACACTAAGGCAAGTTGCATGCTATGCTCTTGTTTGTGGCCGCCTTCCCTATCAGACCGCTCAATCCCAGGACAAGCTCTGTGTCAAGCACAGGAGAGTGTCGTGGGAGGGAGAGAATGAGGGAGGGAACAAAGGACCAGGCTGGAAGAGTCAATGACAGCTTTCTAAAGAATTCTCATGGGACAGGAAGGATGGGTGGGACTGAGCTAGGCATAAAATGTCCTTTCTGCCTTTGGATTCAAGACCAGGAATTTGTGACAGAGCCACTGGGAAAGACAGTGTAGGCTGTGCCCTACCGGAGGGTGGACAGCCAAGGGGGCAAGGGGTTTGGTGAAATCGAGCCCAGGCTCTGGGGTGGGGGTCTGCTCAGAGGAAGGGACATCTTTTTCTAGTAATTCTCTCACTGGCGACTTCTGCAGCTTCTCCTTGCCAACACTCAGATCCCTGAGCTGCACAGGATGGGAGCTGGCGCCTCTTCCAAATTTCCACACAGTTGCCTTTGTCCACAGCCTCAGCCCTGCCAGTTCAGAACCAAGCTCACACCAACACCAGCTACCCTGCTGAAGCACAGGTCATCTCTACCCTACAATAGCTTGGTGCTATGGCCTGCCTTCCTCCTGTTAGGGCCACAGTTCACGTCTATCTATCTAGCCATCTGTCTAGGTGCACTTGTCTGTCCTTCCATGCCCAGACACTGTGCAAGTGCAGGGCACAAACTATTCCTTATACTTGTATTTGCCACTCACACCCCAGAAGAAATCCCACCTTTCCTGGGTGCCCTCCCTCATGATCCCTCGTCAAGGCTACTCCATGTCCTCTGAACTCATAGGGCACACAGGAGCCAATCTGCAGATAAACAGTATTGATCAGACAAGCTCAGCCCAGAGCTGTGGTTTTCCCTTACTAGAGAAAAACAGGTTCCTGGTCAAAGTGGGTGGATTCCAGGTATACTCTGACAGTAATGTGGACGGGGTTAGTTAACACGCTGGATGTAGGGTATAAGCAAAAGAGGAGTGAAAGATTATTCCAAGGGACCTCAGGGACTCAGAGAAGGGAAGCCCCTAGACTAGGCACTGGGCAGCTCTTTTCAAGTAAGAAGCGTCAAGATAAAGAAGAGAGGTACACATGCAGCTGGGCAGCATTAGGGTCAGACGGGGCACAGGTGTGGAACAGGCAGAGCTGGACTAATCCGTGACCACAGCTCTAGGAGACTGTGGAGACACGAGAGAGGAGCCAGGAGAGGTGTTCAAGGAGGCACGGGTAATGTGACCATGGTCCCTTGCATCCTCTTAGTGTTCCTTCCTGGGTTTGTTGTTTTTCTTCCTCCATTATGTCATCTAATTCTGTTTGCAAAGAAAGCCTATGATATTAACTTCTTCTACCCTTATTTTTCTGTGGAGAACTTCATTCCACATTTCATGACTGATATTTGATCTGGTGTAGATTTCAGAGGTACAAGTTCTGTTCCAGTGTCTTTTTGCACTTAGCATCTCTGATGAAAAATCTGCTGTGAATGTCTTCTTTTTCCTAAGAATTTGGAATTCCTTTCCACTCTTTTTATTCTGAAGCATCACTACAACGTTTCCAGATGGCCAATCTTATTCCATATTGTCCAGCATGGGCTAATCTTGCCCTATATTTACCTGCAGAGGTGCCTGGAGTGTGGTGTGGACATTTGGCCAAAGCTACAACCAAGCTAAGTGATGTTTGCAACCATGGGCTCCTGGCTATTTAGGGGTAGAACATTCCAGTCTGTCAGCATTGTTTAGTCATCATAACTGGACGTATGTCTTGCACCTGATTTTGGTGGCACCTGGGCAGTTACACAGGTTGAGGCTGGTTACTAGATGCCCATCTTACAGACTCACCACAAAGAGGCTTTGGTTCTCCTCATACCCAGGTGCTGCACACATGGGCCAGTGATGGTTTGTGCGAGTCTGAGGCCACAGGCCTGCACCTGAGATCTCAGCTTACTTCCTTCAGTACCTTTTTTCCACTGTGGCAGTTCTGTATACTTTGATATAAACAGTGGGGTCCAGTGAATCCTTTCAGCAACCAAACTTTTAAGCTAATTAGTGTATAATTAGCACAAAAATGTTAAATTAATTGAAGCATGAGAAATAAATAAAACCTCTGTAATGAATTAGGACAAGAATCCAGACATTTTCCTGGTGAAAATAAAATTCTCCAAAGGTCTGGTTCTTCAGAGCGAAGCAGTCTCTCTCACAATTACTTTCTAAAGAGCACAACTGTCCAGCACAAATACAGTGCCAGCCACATAGGTCATTTAAATATTTCTACTAGCCACATTAAAAAAGAAACAAGTGAATTCAATGTTAATATTTAACCCAATATGTCAAAAACAGTATCCTTTCAATATGCAATCACAATTACTGATGAGCTATTTTACTTTTTTTTCTTACTAAATCTTTGAAATCAGTGTGTATTTTTTCATTTAAGGAATGTCAGTTCAGACTCAAGACATGCATTTAGTAGAAGAGCATGGCCACCACATCGGACAGTGTGGCAATGGTCTACGACTGAATTTACTTATTCAGCAGCTGAGGGTGAAAATAAGCTATCTCCATCAGAAAATGGTGGGCATGGCTTCCTCTTTGCTACCATTACATGGTCCATTTCTTTCTGCCCAATGACCACACTTCTACTCTTAACTACTCTCCCACCCTATTTCTGTTCTAAAGCCACCAGGCCTTTCAAATGCTGCGGGTTTTTCCCATTTACTCTTGCCTAACAATCTATGCTAGTCCCTGCATCCATAATCTGATGCCCCTTCCTGGGGAGAAAGATGTCCTGGGCATGCTCTTCATTCAGTACCATGTGCAAACTCATCCATCAGTTAATTTATAATTAAAATACTGCATTTTTTAAAAATTGAATTTATTGGGGTGACATTGGTTAATAAAATTATATAGGTTTCAGGTGTACAAGTCTATAAATACATCACCTGTATATTGTATTGCGTGTTCACCCACCCCAACTCAAGTCTCCTTCCATCACCATTTAGTCCCCCCTTTTCCCTCTCCTACCTTCCCCCACCACCCTTTCCTTTGTGTAATCATCATACTGCTGTCTGTGTCCATGAGGTTTTTTTCTTTGTTTAATCCCTTCACCTTTTCCACCTAGCCTCCCAACCACGCTCCCCCTGGCAGCTGTCAGTCTGTTCTCTGTATCTATGAATCTATTTCTATTTTGTTGGTTAATTTATTTTGTTCATTAGACTCCACACATAAGTGAAATCATATGGTACTTGTTTTTCTCCAACTGGCTATTTCACTTAGCATAATACTCTCCAGGTCCATCCACACTGTTGCAAAAGGTAAGATTTCCTTCTTTTTTATAGCTGAGTAATACTCCATTGTGTGAATGTCCCACAGCTTTTTTATCCACTCATCTACTGATGGGCACCTGGGCTGCTTCCAAATCTTGGCTATTGTAAATAATGTTGCAATGAACACAGGGGTGCATATATTCTTTTTGACTGGTGTTTTGGGAGTTTTCAGATATATTTCCAGAATTGGATTGCTGGGTCATAAGGTAGTTCCATTTTTAATTTTCTGAGGTAATTCCACACTGTTTTCCATAATGACTGCACCAGTCTGCATTCCCACCAACAGTGCACAGGGGTTCCGTTTTCTCTACACCCTCCACAACTCTTGTTGTTTGTTGATTTGTTGATGGTAATAGCCATTCTGATAGGTGTGAAGAGACATCTCGTGGGGGTTTTTTTGTTTTGTTAATCCTCACCAGAAGATATTTTTTCCATTGATTTTTGAGAGAGAGTGGAAGGGGAGAGACAGAGAGAGAAAAATCTATGTGAAAGAGACACATTGACTGGTTGCCTCCCACATATGCCCCAACTGAGGCCGGGGATGGAGCATGCAACCAAGGTACGTGCCCTTGACTGGAATTGAACCTGTGACCCTTCAGTTAGAGGGCTGACGCTCTAACCACCAAGCCAAACTATCCAGGGCTCGTGGTTATAATTTGCATCTCTGATGATTAGTGACATTGAGCATCTTTTCATATGTCTCTTGGCCATCCGTATGTCCTCTTTGGAGAAGTATCTATTCAGGTCCTTTGCCCATTTTTTAATTGGATTGTTTGTTTTTCTGGTGTTGAGGTATAGTATAAGTTCTTTATAAATTTTGCATATTAACTCCTTCTGGCAAATATGTTCTCCAATTCAGTGGGATGTCTTTTCATTTTGTTGATGGTTTCCTTTGCAGTGTATTAATGCTGCATTTTTGAATGTCACAGCATTAAAGCATTCGATGAGAGTGGTGAGGAACAACAGCCACTTCCAGCACAATGACCCCGTGTATCATGTGGATTTCATGCTAGTCCAGGAAAGGGCTGTGGTCAACTAATGCCAATCAAGAGTTCTCTGCCTCAAGTTGAAAACCATCAACTGATAAGAGTAATCAAAATTTGAACATTTATCAATTACTATGAAATAAAACAACTTTTTTTTTTGGACACACAGATTTGCTCAAGTTGATCTTCATAAAACTTTGATAAATATGTTCTCATAAGTTATATATTTGCATCTGTTTAAATTTTACTTCCCAACATGAACATTCTGATGTCTGGTAAGTTTCTAACATTGGCTAAAGGCTGACCTGTGCCCAGTGACCTCTGTCCTCTCCATATATTAATTCTCAAAGGTGCAATAAGTATGAAACTAAAACCATGGCACACTTGTCACAGACTCTTTCCAGAGTGAATTTTCTGATACAATAAATCTTAACTATTTGCCAAGCATCTTGACAAATGCATAACCTTTGACAGCTCCCTTCCTGTACAAATGTTCTGAACTTATTGAAGCCGACACAATGGCTTAAAGAATTTCCTCTTTCATTGTATCTGAACCTTACAAAGACGAAAACATACACAGAGCCGTCCCTGAAACAAACGTTACATCTGCAATCTGCAAGGTTTCTCTCACAATTATTACCAGTTAACGTGAAGGTAGAACATTGGCTGCAGGCCTTTTGACCAAGTGATCATGTTTATAAGGTTAAATATAAAACAGAACTATAGAAAAACTAGAAAAAAACAGGAAACAAAAAAAAGTTAATAAAAAGAGACTGTTATATGTCAATTATAGCACATGAATAGGTATTAACACGTATTTCAATCCTGAATGATTCTCCTTTTAATAATTCATTTGAATAGTCAGTATTACAATATTACAGAGGCATCAGAAAATTATATATAATTCAAATGTAATATTGTAGCCTTAAATCTAAATTCTACCATTCTCTTTATTTTGCTTAAAAGTAGTTAAGACATATAAGTCAGAGTAGCAAATTAATTAGTTTCATTATTATTTAAAAAAAGGAGGGGAGACATATCTATTCATCTTGGTCATTGGACACTTGTCCTCCTTAAAGATGAATATAGACTAAGTAGAGGAGGCAGGAAGGATGAACGGTTCCTTTACCATTTGGTCAAAGTAAACACTTCCTGAAAATTTACATACTGAACTCAGTTTTCTGAAATCACAGCACTACCTCTCACTCCTCAGCTCAGCAAACTTTGTTTAGGATGTGCTCCTTCCTGAATTCTTGATCACTAACTTTCACTCACCGCCCACAGGAAACCCTGCCCAGGCCAACTCCCACATGCAGGGGTTCCTCCTGGGGCTTCCTAGTCACTGGGAATGTCTCAAGAAGCACCTGTTGCACTGCACTGCAGTGAAGGTCATGGGCATCTCCCCAACAGACTGTAAGCTGTATGAGCAAGGACCTCTTCTATCTCTAGAACCTTGTCCAGTGTCTGGTATATAGAAGATAGTCAACAACTTTTAAGAAATATCTATCCTATTTGGGGTCATGCAAATACCTTCGAAATTATACTTTCTAGAAAATAACTTTCCTACTTCACATGTATTAGAGGCTGTTTTAATTGCTTTGTTTCTTTGTATCCATTGAAGAATTAAAAAGAAAACCAGGGGAGAAAAACAAGTAGATGGCATTATATAAGTAACATATGATTGTTATTATTTTCCTAAGAAATTTTACAACAATCTAAACTCTGGTCAGTCACACATTAACAGAATGAATATTATAAAGAAGAATTTGGGGGGCAGGGGTGGATCCCCAGGTAGAGGGGATCAGTAGGAAGAAAAAAGGGGACATCTATAATACTTTCAACAATAAAGATAAATTTAAAAAGAAAAGAAAAAGTTAACATGTCTGTAATATGGGAATAAGAATTATTACTTTACCTTTTTTTGTAAGTGCCATTAACATTTAACCTACATAACTGAATTTTTCTCCTAGGAATTACACTTACCCTGACATCAGTAGCATCTCCATGCCTGATAATACTGGCCCAAGTGGTCGGCTCGCTGTTGCTTTCAAAATAATGAAAGACTTTTAGCACGCGCTCCATGGTTCCCGTGGAACGTTCCACACTGGTACCCAGGTGCGTCTTGGTACTCGAATTTGGTGTGTGATTCAAGTTTGGGTCCAGGTAAGCAGCTGCCATTATTTTGCTAGATGCTAGGTACCTATCATATTCTGTAAGAGAAAAAAAAAAATTTTTACTGTACAATATTTGAAGTCTACTGATTGAAATGATACACTGATAATTATACTAACAACACTTTTATATCCTCTCCCCATGCTTGAGGAGAATTGGGACCTAGGATCCCCCACCCCCACACTCAGAGTAGGACCTGATTCACGGTAGCATATTTATTATACAAACTCTTAAAATGCCAGGAGTTCTATTTCAACTCTGTCAAAAATCCACTGTTATCTATGAACAATGTAACTTACCCCCTTTTAATCACAGTTTTTAAATTTATGGGAAAATGTCACAGGAAAACCAAGTATGTTAATTTTGCTGCCAACTTTTGAAAACTTTTACATGAGATACAGGTTCCTTGTTCACACAATAACAATTCAGTGAGTAGTCATTTCACAGACTAGGCTTTAGTGATAAACAACTACAGGCAAAACAAGGTGCTCCTACTAAGTCACCTTGCAGTAGAGTGAGACACGTCATAGAAAACCAAAAAACAGAAATAACTGAATTTTTTAAAAGTATGACGGGACTTCCATTTGAGTGTGAGGGAAAACTGTGGGCAAGACTGAAACTCCTACTGGGAAAACCCAGTAAAGCCAGATTAAAACACAACCCAAACAACATCTGGAGTCCCTTTGGAGTCTCAAACATGGTGAGACAACCCGGCAACAGGTGGCAGAGATGGCTGCCTTTTCCCAAAGGGCATTTGCCAATTCTGTGTCTTCAAGGGCCACTGAGTGGACAGGGTCTCACTGGCTGAGATAAGGAGCACAGAGGGGAGGGGGGGCAGGAAATAAGATATTAATTCAGTTTGGGGTACATCACAAGGCCAAGTGCCAGAATGGAGGCACTTCATGCCTAGAGTGAAGGAGGGTGGGGAGGCAGGGAGCTTCTGGAAGTTTACTATAGAAAAGGAAGTAAACCTGGGTCCACCCCCATCTGCTCTCAGGCTGGGGGATGAGGGTGGGGGGCACATGAATGACATTTTGATTTGGGCTCTTCGAAGCCTTTGAAGGAAAACTATAACTTCACAGATAAACTGAGTCTTTTTAGTCCTAAAGAGAAGTCAATTTACCTTCAGGAAAAGATTCCCATGGATGCATTCCTCCTCCCTCTCTAGGGGGCACTTTGCAAAATCAAACAGCCTATGGCAAAGCCTCCTACCATGGAGGTAAACTGCAGTATGTAACACAAGAGCACTCTTCCTAAATGCAGACACTGGTCTGGACTGAGTGTAGACCAGGCTCTCCTGAGGGTTATTGCAGTAACGATACTCAGCATTTACCATGCCAGGACTGTCCTACTTAGAAATGAAATCATTTAATCCTCAGAATAACCTTACTTTCACCACTTCCAGATGTGGGAATGGAGGAGTGACTTGCCCAAGGCCACATGCCTGGTGCACGGGGCTCAAGCCGGGCAGTCCACCTGGAGACCACACTCTGGCAACCATGCCCTGCTCTGCGTGGTTTAGTAGATTTCCATCTTGCCTTGAAAACTTGTCACAAGCCACATTATGTAGCTGAGTGGCAGCACTTTCCCATCATCACAGTCATCAACACACTCAACTCTCCTTGGCGAAGAGCCAGTTGCAGTTTATTATCACTCTGCCCACCTTTTCACTCATTCATTCGTTCAAGCCTGTCCTCAGTAGGCAAAGAACGTTTATTGAGCCCACTACTAGGTTAGGCACTGGAACAGAGGTGGGGATATAGACAGTAAATTATATGTGTGCGTGTGTGTGTCTGTGTGTGCACACACACACGCACACATATAAAATCCTACCCTGAAGAGCTGTTGGCCTACTTAGAAACTCATACACACACACACACACACTCTCACACGATTTAATTACAACTGTAATAAGTACTATCAGAAACTGACAACTGTAGTTACAGCTGTAAAGAAAAATACTCAATCATGGACGTCTTACATCACAGCTGCAGTGCATGTTATCAGAGCCAAGGGAAGGACATTTTAGCGCTGGCAAGAGGGGTCAGTAGCGTGAGAGGCAGCCACATGGGCTTCATACTTGGGAACCTTCAATACAGAAACCCTTCTTCTTTGGATCCAGAAAATGTCCTTGCATCATTTCTTTGATGCCTTTCTCCCTTTTATTTCTGTGGCTCTTATTATTTGGATGTTGGACCTTCTGCACTCACCATCGTAATTTCTTTCTTTTCTCCGCCACTCATCTTTCCTTCACATGTTCTGAGAGATTCTTCCATATTACCTCCCAATGCTTCCCCAAACTGAGTTTATTTCTTCTCTGCCACTTTCAATTTTCTTGGTCTCAAATGTACTTTAAAGCATTCTGTTGCCTGGGCCAGCATGACTAAGTGGTTGAGCGTGGACCTATGAACCAAGAGGTCATGGTTCGATTCCCGGTCAGGGCACATGCCCAGGTTGCGGGTTTGATCCCCAGTAGGGGGCGTGCAGGAGGCAGCCAATCAATGATTCACTCTCATCATTGATGTTTCTATCTCTCCCTCTCCCTTCCTCTCTCTGAAATCAATAAAACATTTCTTAAAAATTCTGCTGGTCTTTCCTCTTCTCCTAGCTCTCTGGAGATCTTAACACTGAGATGTGACTGTTTTGTCTTGTTCTCTTAGCTTCCTGCTGCTCGCTATGTCATCACTGCTGCCTGTAAATCATTTTCTCTGGTCATCTGTTTTGTTCTCATGTTTTAAAGGCAGAAGCTGTCTTTAAGCACAGGAACCCTGGGCATGAGGGATACTTGGCAACCTATGCTGACTAGAGACATGGCCATCAGCTAGAGACCCCACGTGTGAGAACTGCCTTTGCTCTTGACCAGGCTCCTCAGAAAAGAATGTTTCCATCTCCCATCAGGGTTGGGCACAAGCCTCCTTACAGGATTCTGGGAACTA